CTGGTCCCTCTTACACAGACAAATTTCATTCAGATCCAGGCTTCAGAACAAGTTCTTTCAGTCCAGCTGTATTTGTTGGGCAGGTGCCTATTGATGCTGTTCATCAGATGATGACAGAGTTTGCTGCTGCTGTAGCTTCTGCTCTCTCCTACTCCCAGCTGGGTTAAGTGAAGGGAATAGCAGCACTGAAAGCATGGCAATTATTCTCTTGATAAAACATGGGTTTGGATGGAGAAGTATCAGGCTGGGTTGGATTAAACCCAGATTGTTTTATACTACACTTCTGTAAACTTAATCTTGTCTTGCACAGGCACACGTCTGGCTACTCATTTCCATTCCCTATTCCTCTTGGGAAAGATGGTGCTCAACCTTCTTGGGGGGTCCTGTTCTTCTCTCTGGAAAAGGAGGAAAATGAATAAGAACAGATCTGTGCCTTCTCCTCCCAGAAGCTGCTTTTTCCCTTTCTCCAGTAAATGGTGCCTGATAATGTGGCTGTCAAGGGACTGAACCTGCTCTAATAAGAGCTGTACAGCACAATAAATTTCAGAAGCCTACATGTTAGTTAGACAAATGGTGTGGTTCCTGGAAGAGTTGATCAGAGCCCTGCACTTCTCCAGACACAGAGATAGAGACAGACTAAAGAAAACTTAGATCTCCTCCAGCCATAGTTTTGGCAATATCAACATTGCCCTCAGTACTTGAGGCAAGTGTACAGAAAGATGAGCTCTGTAAATATCTGGTTCCATACTTCTAAAGCAAAGGTCATCTTTTTCAATTAATAAATAGAATTAATTTAAATATTTACAGGTGGAGGGAAACACCATAGGAATTATTCTGTTCCCACCCATACCTCATCAAAATAGATGAAAATCTTTCAACCAGCATGAGGTTGTGCAACCACTGCAGTTAGTGGTCCCCAGGAAAACAATGAAATTGTGCAAGCAAGTGTTGACCTGTCCAAAAGGATCAGATTCATCTTTTACATTGCTGAGTGCACATGTCCACATCCCCTCTTCAAACAAGGACATTGTAATCCAGCTGTCATTTTGTTTATTTTCTCCACAGATTTTTGATTATTTGGTCCTGAGAATATCTGACACTCACAAGAGGGTGAAGCAGAAAGCGCTGGACGTGCTGGCAGAAATCATTGGCATCCTGGAAAATGCCTTGAGCCCAGTGATTGTCCATTTGGTAGAAGGAATTACAAAGAACCTGAACTCGAAGGATCCTGGGGTTCATTCTGCAGCTGTGAAAGCTCTGGAAGAATCTATTTCTCATTTAGGTAAGGCTGACCCCTGACATGGACTCTCCTCAGCTGTGTTTCTGCCTCTCCCACACAAGAGAATGCTGAGAGCCCTGACAGCTCTTGTTGTCTGTGGAACACTGCAGCTGACATCCACCAGAAGCTGTGGAGCTGCAGTCCTTACACACCAGTGCCCCAACAGGCTTGAATGTGCATCAGCATTTCCCAAAGGTCCCAGGAGCCCTTGGCTCTGTGCTGCTTGTCTGAAGAGGAAGTCCTGGAAGCCTACAGCTTTGCTAGAATTCAGAGCCAAGGGGCTTTTGGAGTTTGCTTGGGCCCCATTTGACTTCCCAAATGAATAGCTTTGCTGTTGGCATGAAGGGACACAGGCCCATCAGAGCTTCTGCAGAGCAGCCTCCTGGAAGGCTCTGTATTTATTATAGGCATTAGCTGCCCATTTCCCACCTTCCTTCTTTGGCTTCTTTTTTCAAAGGAGAACTTTTGTTTCAGCAGCTTCATTTCCTTATAAGAAACAGGTAGAAATCCAGCTGTCAATGATGCCTTGTTCCACATGTTGTTTTGCATGGTGCAAGATGGCTGTAGCAAATAGCTACCTAGGCAAGGGCTGCTGCAAATTCCTTTGCCACACAGATTTATGTCAGCTCTGAAAATGCCGCACTGGGGAATATGCGTGAGAAATGAAGTGCTAGAAAGGCAGGTCTTCCAGGGGAGTTTCCACTTTCTCCACCTCAGCTGCTCTGTGAGCTCATGAACTGCCTGACTCGGAGCCTTTCTCTGTTCCAAGTATGGGGGGCACATTTTTGCTCTGGGATGCAAACCCTTTTCACTGCTTACATGTGATTGAACTCTTGAAGTCCCTGATGTGAAATGTTTAACGTAGCTCCTGGTACAGCAGACAATTTTGGATCTACAATTGTGCAAGGAGAGCTTTTCTTTTGGAATTAAAAACCCTCCCTAGGAGGCTGGAAGGAAAGAAGAAATGGATTCAAGAACCAGCAGAAATTGACTTTTATTTTATAAAATAAGGGCTTGCTCCTGCCCTTTCCCACCCCACTGTCCTTTCTCCTATGACCTCCGAAGAGTGAGCAGAAACGTGTGTTTCTCTTGTAGATAAAGTATCACTGATGAAAGAGTTTGGCCACAGATGGAGTCAACTGAGTGGCCAAGCTCTGCTGGATGTCACTGAGCGTATCACAGGTATGGCCAACCCTTCTAAGCCAAGAGGTCTTCCTAGGAAGAATGTTCAGGGAATGCCTGTAAATAGACAGTAGAGTAGCTCCTCCAAATCAGGACCTGCTGAGCTTGTCCCTCCTGCCCAACACCCATGGCAGGTGTATTGGGCAGGTTTTCCTGGCTGCTGCCGTGGTGTGCAGCATCTGAGACGGGGGCAGCGTGCAGCCTCATGGCTGAGCTCTCAGTGGGACACCTCAGAAGCCACCTTCAGGAAAGGGAAGGGCTAAAAATATCCTAGCTGGCTCCTCCCTTGGAAGTTCAGGGGCATCTGTGACCCTTGAGGGAAAGTGGTGGCAAATGCTGTTTCAGGGGATCAGTTTGTTTTGTCCTAACAGAATCCTTGTTTTGCTCTTGGGAGGTTTTGAGGCTGAACCCTGCAGGGCCTGGGGCTCTCAGCTTAGGTCAAAACTCAACACACATATTAGAGGCACAGATTTAGTGCAAGGGTAGCCTTTGTGGGCAGAGGGGCAGAAGCAGAGTGCTGAGGCTCCCTGCCTGTGCTGTCAAAGTGGCATTGGGCTGAGCATTTCAGGGAGTGCAAACAGTGTCTTCCTATGTCAGCGCTGTCCAAAATGCTACAAATGCAGCTGCTAATTGATTCCTCAGAGGAGCTTGCTATGGCAGCAACAGACAAGGAATGGAAACATCATCATCTCAATATATAGTGGAGAAGCTGATTTATGGCCTTGCTTTAACTGGGGCTAAATCCACCACTAATTCTGCCAGCATCTTTAAATGCAAGGTTTAATACACTTTGTATCTTCATTGTGAATCTCAAAAGGGCATGTTCAGCGATTGGGAATGTCAAAGGCGTGTTAAAGAGCAGTTGAATAAAGTAGATCTCCAGGAACAGGGAGTTTAGTTTTGCAGTTATTTTGATCTCTTTTTCAAATGAAGGAATTAAACATTAATTAGGGCTAGTTTAGAAAGAGCAGATGTGCTGTCTGAGATTTAGTAGGAACACACAGCTCTTTCTCTTCTCAACTTCCATACTGACCAATGTCTTTAATTGCATTTCAACTCAAGTGAACCCCCGTTTTTAAATGGATACCATAACCCTTTTCCCACTTAGAAGCATTGGTTTTGGGTACTTCCAGGAGCTGTTGAAATGTTGATAACTGCTGGTGAATTAACAGCATAGAGAAAATGAAGTCTCTTCCACCACAGAGTAATAAATGGCTCCTACACAGCATTTTGCCTGTTTAGAAAATGAGAATGGTCTCAAGGCCATTTCAGCTTTTGATCTCTCAGCCAAATCTGCTGTACAAGGAGCCTGTTGGTAGTCAATTTTTTCCTGTGTTTCATATAGTTCAGTTCAGAAAACGAGCAGAGAGGATGCTTCAGGCACAATGTGAGGAAACACTCATGTTTTGGTTAAATTGCAGTCCCCTGGGTAACAGTTTTCTCTCTCTCTTTCCCCATTTCAGTGTGCATTGTAAGGAAAAATGCCATTAACATTGGGAGGGGAAATGCCATTAAAACGTGGAGATGCTCAGATGCCATGGCAATGGGGTCTGGGTCATTATCTAAGACACCTTGGGGTTTGGAACTGCTGTTTGTTGGAAGCCACAAAAGCATTCTGCCAATGACACCAGCCAGTCACTGATGTTTCTTCTCCAAGTGTCAAGCAGCACCCACCTCTGGTGGGCTGGAGTTTTGAAGTGTGGTCTAGTACTGCCCTTTGCTGTGTGCCACTGAGCAAAGGGAAGAGCCAGATTAGACTTTTGGCACTTGACATCAAAGGTCACAAAAATGGAATCATCCTTTTTATTGCAAATCCTTCAATTGACTCTCTACGGTGCATGTCCACATTTTCAGTGTGGGTTTAGACAACTTCTTCATGGAAATAAAAGGCAATTTGTCATATTCAGGCATTATCCCTGCAGAAACAGATCATGAAATAGTTTAGTAAAAGTACAAAGTCTGCCAGAGCTACAAGGCCCTGCTTGGAGAAATTAATCCTGGGGGGTTGCTGGTTCTGTTTCTGGGAGGATCAGCTGCTTTGCCCATTTCTGGCTCAAGAGGTTCTGTGTGCTCTTTCTCTGATCTTAGCCAGAGGCAAAACTTAGAAATAGATCCTTGTTTGCATTCAGGTTGGTGGTTAAGAAGCTTGTGTCTCTCTCCCGGCAGTGCTTGTGGAATGGGTTTATCCCAGGAGCCCTGAAGTCGTCCAGCGCTACGCCCTGCCCGTGCTCTGGTCCTTCCTGGGGAACAAGGCGCTGCCCGTGCGAAGCGCCAATGTCCGCACTGTGGTCACCAAGCTTGCCTCTGCCCTCTACAAGGTGATGGGCACCAAGCTGAGGAAGTGTGCTGCCAGCCAGCCTCCACATGTGCGGCAAAACCTCTCCAACATCTTGGGCTGGTGAAGGCCTGATGCTCTCCAGGAAGATGACGAAGAGCTGAGTTGGACACCTCCAGATGTGAGTTCTTGGCTGTGCAAAAACAACAAAATACTGAGGAAGGGTTTGCATCCACCCCCGCTCCCTCCACTGCCCTTCCTAGTCAAGGCATGGGGGGCCTGAAGCAACTCCAGATTGAGAACGAGATGAAGGCTGAGCAGGGCTCAGCCTCAGACACAGGTGAGGGGGGAGCTGGGCTGCTCTCTGGCAGGAGGAAGGGTCTTGTGCCAGCCTAGAGAGCCTGTGCTCATCCCCAGGGAACAGTTCTGCCCTGCATGTGCCCCCTGCAATGAGCTGTGCTGCTGCCAGTGCCCCGTGCAGCTGTAGGGCTGCTCAGCTGTGGGGCAGGGACAGGAGCAGGAGGCTGCATGTGCAGCTGAGCCATGGCTGCAAAGCCCAGGGCTCTGGGCTCCCTGCTGTCCCAGGCCAGCCCAGAGGCCAGGCTGTTCCTGTGGTAGCTCTGTGCAAGCGGGGCAGGGTGTCCTCTGGCCTGCCTCAAGTGGCTGCAGGCAGGAGCATGTTTCCCTGTGCAGCTATTTAGAAGTTTGCAGGAAATGTGCCCCATGGAATTTGGAGCTTCAGAGGCTTTAGGTTTGCACTGCAGTCTCTGTTACACTTTGTGTTTCCATTTTGCATATCTGACAGGCTCCTCTCTTGCCAAGAAGTTTTCTCTGCATGCTTCATGTGTGTCCTTATCCACAAAGTCCTTGCCTCCCATCCTGAAGAGCCCTCTTTCCTCGGAGCTCTGGAAGAAGCTTCTGCGTCTCCTAAGAGTGATTGAAGAATAGGATTTATGTGTTAGGCTTTATAGTTACAGCTGTACATATGTTCTGATATTTTGATCTACGTAGGAATAAATGTGTTTTGATTGTATTTATTAAATTGTGATGATATATTTTAATTGTTTATATTTATTTTTGTAGCTATGTTTTTTCTTTAAATTTAAATAAACTAAATTTTTGACAAACAAGCAGAGAATGTGAAACTAGGACCTGCTAGCCTAGGGGAGATGTGCTGAGGTTATGGGAGTACATCTCACTTGATATCCCAATGTCTCAGATCATTTTTTCCTTGCTGGGCCTCTCCTCTTCCTCTTTTGCCAGGTTTTCTTTGTGTCATTTGTGCTGCTTTTCATGACCTGGCATTACGAGGCCACCCAGTGGCATGTTTGGGGGACAATAGACCCAGAAGATCCTGTATAGTCAAAAGTTTTCTACCTACATGTATTCTGTGCTCACAAAAGGCCCCAGCAAAGAAACAAAGTGAAGTGTGCCCAAATCCCAAAGCTTTGCCCCTTTGCAATCTCACGCTGATCTGGCTCAGAGGTGTCTTCAGTCACAATTTCATAGGTAAGGAGTGGTTGAGTATTTCCCTGGAAAAGATGCACAGCTTTGGAAAAGTCAGCTATATGTACATTTATCCAGGACATCAGTCAAATGTGTTGTTTGTAACTTGTTTGCAGAAGACTGTGAGCTCAACAGGTGACAAGGGTTCCTCAAATCTAGCTACACTCCAACCTGGGTGCCATTTAGCCTAGGGGTATGGGATCATTTGTTACCATGGACCTGTGCTTGCCAACATAATGAATTCCTGCATAGCTGGAACATGCAATCCTGGGTTCAGCTCCAGCTCTCGGTGGGCAGCATGTTCATCAACAGTGCTACCTTTCCAGGATTTTTTTTCACTGCTTCCTTTTGTATTCATTTGAGGCTTTTACACTTCACATTTCTACTTAGGTTGCCTTTGGGAAAACCACTTCTTGGCCCAGTGCAAACTGGAACCTTTTGACAGCAAAGTCCTCATGGTTGCCAGCTTCTGATGTTACAGGTGAAAATGCATGTGAACGTGATAATTAGGTTTTCTGAAGCAAAAACTCCATGTTACATGGCTGCATGTGGTTGCCTAACTTTGGGTCTAGTTCTGGCCTAGTAAAGCCCAGGCAGGGTGGCATGTTGCAGGGAAAACTACTCTGTGAGCTTATGGGGTTGCCATCATCAGCAGAGTGAATGTGCCCTTTGGGGATTCCTCTGGAGAGAAAATGAGGGACCCACTCCATGCTGCAGTGTTCTCTTAGATCGTTCTAAAATATCTTAGAAAAGCAGTGGAACTTCACATCTCCTTGCACACTCAGTTTGAATAGGGGCATTTTTGTCCCCCCTCAAAGCCATTGCTCTTGCACACCACAAACATGAACATCCACAAATGGGAATGATGCATGGCACACCACAAACATGAACATCCACAAATGGGAATGATGCATGGTCCCCCCGATGGTGCTTCAGAGTACTGGGAAGTGAAGATCTGGGTAGCTACCAAGATGAACTCCTAATTAGCATTTCATGCTCCTTCAAGATATCCAGCTCTCAGGGATTTTTGTTTCAAAGCAACTGCTATACTGGATCTAGGGAAGAACAGTAAATGGGAAACAGTGACTGCCAGCTCTGCATTGCAGGAGTGTGGGGGAAGACCTGAAGTGTCTGTGTCAAAAGATGAATGGGAAGAGTGTAATTGCCAAAGCCAAAGCTTCATTAGGGTAGCAGGATCAGTTCTTTAGTGCATGCTCGCAAGAAGATCATTTGGTACCTCCTTTTTGTATCTCCTGCAGGAAAGGAGCTCTTGATAATACCGTGCTACTTAAACCCACATTGGGATGTAGCTCTGTTGTGGTTCACAATGAAGCAGATTGCCTGCTTTGTCCCTGCCCACCCTGGTGATCCTGTGAGGGTCTGTAGTGTATGGTTTGGATTAGACAGGGAACCATACAAGGAAAAAGAGTAAGACTTATTAGTGACCCACCAGCAATTAACAACACCTTTGTCCACCAGACACCATTCCAGATATTATCCCAGCACTTAGCTTGGAAAAATGGGGTCCATTTCTGCACAGGAACATGAGCTAGTTTCCAGACATTGGCTGTAATGTTTCTAATGATTTCACTATGGTTGTCTATCTCGACACAGCGTTCAGATGAGCTGAATTTTCCACATACCCCTCCCTCTTCAGCTTGTCAACAATCTAATGCTAAGCAGTTTTGATAAATCATTGTTCTCATCTGCCTGGATTGTGCTGAAATCAAATCAATAGCTAGGGAGGATTGATTTGAAATTATTTCTATCAATGCCTGTAGGAGAATTATGCAGTTCAAGATGTAAATAGGTGTTCTGTAACCCCATGACACATCTTGGGCCCAAGTGGCAGGGCCATATGTTGCTACAATCTGCTCAGGTGGCCATTCGTCCTCCCCCCATCTTTGGGCTCCCCCTGTCAGTATCTGTCTCCTTTTTCTTTTTAACTCATAGTAAAGGGGTACCCCCAGATGTGGTCCACTAATTTGTGGAAGGAGGAAGAATGTGCGCTTAATAATGCCCAAAGTGCAACTTCCCACCCAACTTTGGGGGAGCATTACATACGTTGTCTTCCCACAGATCCAAAAGAGGCCTTTTGGGGCTCCCCAATGTTGGGGTGCTCTTGCTACTTTAAGGCCATTTCTTGTCCAAAATTTTGAAAGTCGGGGTTTGTCTAGAAAAGGGTTAGCCCCCCTAGTAATGCACTCATATAATTTTTCCTTTTCAATGTACGAACGTCCTTGTTTTTGTTTCTTAGACCAATACAACTCTGGTGCCTGAGGGATCCACCACTGATGCATATTATTGGATGCAAAGTATCGCTTATGATGGAGCTCACCATCACCTAAGTGATGTAACTGGGACCTCTCCTCCATAAGCATTCCTCACCAATTACCTGTGACTTCAAATTCCATATTTCTTCCTCGGGTCTTGTATCAGCTCCAGGTTCTCCTTTCTCCTGTAGCCTTAGTAAATTCTGTGAGCTCAGCGGAATTCCCTCCCACAGCCAAATTTCCTCCAGTTGCTTGTCCCCACAAATCCAACACTTACTGATATTAAATTCACGGCTTATTTTCTCTACCAAATCTAGAAATAAATCCTTGCCTCTCGTCACCTGAATTTCCGGACCCCTTTTGATTACCCCTTTTATTTCTTTTTCCTTAATTATATCTGGCTCGGATCCCCCACCTTTCGCCCCCCATTCAATAGATTTTTTCCCTGAGCAGATCCATTTTTCCTTGACAGGGCATTCTCCCAATAGTTTCTGTTTAAAATTCTCTGTGTTTTCAGAAAGCCAATACGTGTTGCTGTCCTCAAGACAGGTGGTTATTTGTGAAAAGTTGATACAGGAGGGGTTCAGATTAGAATGTGTTCTGAGGACGGCAATCCACGAGTCTCCTGCATACAGGGGGCAGTAGCATCTATCACACAACACAGTCTCTCCTTGCCAGCTATTCATTAATAGGAGGGCTGATATTAACGGGGGTCCGGTACAGGACACTTTTCCACCCATATCCTTTACCTTTCTGAAGGTTCTGTGACTCTGTGGCAAAAGTGCTTCCTGACCTGGTCTTCCTCCGTGCAATACTTCTTTATTGGCTACTACTTCTTTTTCTGTTGCAGGAGCTCACTCCCCTCTTGTATTCACTTGTCTCGTTCCTCCTTTTGTAGCCTGATTGCTAAGTGCATGGAAGAATGCTCTATCCTCTTTCCAGACTCTTTGGATCTGTAACAAGGAAGATCAGAAGTTAAGAACATATTTTTATACAACATCTTATAGTTAGTAACACTAAAAGCATTTAAATCACCTGAGGTTTTAAAAGTTATACAGTTAAATAAGTCAATACCTTTTAAATAAGCTAGGATAGCTCATTAAACATCATTGCAGCTTATGGTTCAAATCTAGCAATGATGATCTGTTATTCCATTCCTCCTGATGGTTCAGACTGTTTCTTCTTCAAAACCAGCTTAGTGTCCGTTTCTTTGATCGAGGTCCGTTCGGTGGAATCGGAGGGTTGCTGCGTAGGAGCAGGGACAGGTCCTTTTACCCTTGAAACGTGTGTCCATCCCTTCTCCTGTGTGGGAACAGCTGTTTCTGTGATTAACAGGACCTGAAATGGACCTTCCCACTTTGGAATTAATGGTTGCTCTTTCCAGGTTTTAATCAAAACCCAGTCCCTTGGTTGGTACTTATAGATTTTAAAATTGATAGGTGACCTCTGAGGGAGATACCCTTTCTGTCTTAATTCCTCTAAGGTGCTGGCTACAGTTTGGATATACTTTCTTATGCTCTGCTCTCCTTCCTCATAGTTTCCATTATTACCCGGGGTAGTTAAGAAGGGTAAACCAAGCACCATCTCGTAAAGGGGCGAAACCCCTAAGTCCATCCTAGGTTTAATCTCATTAGAGCTAAGGGAAGACACCTCAGCCAATTCACTTTCATCTCCTCAACTAACTTTGTAAGGGCCACCTTTACTGCTTGGTTCACCAAACTGTTTGGTTCGACCCTTTCTGAGCTTTGTGGTCTCCAAGGGATATGGAGCTTCCAGATGATGTTCAATGCATTTGTTGTTTGCTGTAAAATTCTTGCAATAAAATGTGGGCCACTATCCCAATCGACGGTATTGACGATTCCATAGCTTGGTATAATCTTTTCTAATAGAATCTTACTGACCACCTCTGCTGTCGCCTTGGTAGCTGGATATGCTTCAACCCAATGGGTTAGATGATCCACTATGACTAATAGGCATTTAAACCTTTGTATTTCAGGTAACTCTGTGAAATCAATTTGTACGTTTTGAAAGGGTCTCCTAGCCAATCCTCTTCCTCCTTGAGGCAATTTTCACATAACTTTCTTATTTATTCATTGGCAAATCATACAATTTTGGGTCAGCACTGTTGCAATTTCAAACATTCTAATACAAACATAAGTTTTCATAGAATGATCGGCTTGAAGCATGTAGATTTTCTAATATTTTCCTACTTAGTGCTTTATTCATCACTTGTCTGCCATCAGGCATTCTCCATTTCCTTTTCCTAATCTTTATTTCCTTTTGCTAATCTTTATTAGCACCATGTTTTTGTAATCCCTCAATTCTTTTTCATTAAATACGGGATCTTCTCCATCCTTTTCATCTCCATCATCTCTGCCTTTTAGATCTATTATTCTAAAGACTTTCTCAATACTGCCCAGAGCAGCTTTCTTTGCTATTTGATCTGCTAAGTGGTTCCCTTTGAACTCCACTGAGTCTCCCTTCTGGTATCCTTTCACATGCACTGCTACCACTTCCTAAAGTCCTTTCAGAGCCTCTAATACTGCTTTAATTAGGCCCTTATGCATCAATGCTTTCCCCTTTGAGTTTATAAAACCCCTCTCAATCCCAATCTTTCCGAACGTGTGTACTACCCCACAGGCGTATTTGGAGTCCATGTAGATGGTTCTGCTCTTTTGACTGAGCCATTGCAATCCTCTCAACAATGCGTAAATTTCACAACACTGCTCAGACCGTGTCATAGGAGTTTT